AGTGGTGCCGACAGAATGTACCAAACCGAATTCAAGCACCAATGTGCGTTCCCAGGGCGTGCACAGTTTGTCCGCCCCACGGGGGGTGCAAACATAGCTCGGTCTTCAAGTGACCGGAAAACGTTTCCCGCGCTTCGGTCCTCATGGGATGCCGGCGGAGCTTGTGCGGAAGATGTCCGGGGCATAGGCGGCCGCCTCCCGAGGGTGATACCGGCGGGTCGGTGTTGAGGAGCCCTGTGGCAACCTAAACGGTCGCCTCCTGGGTCCTTGGATGGGGGCCTGGGGCCTCCTGGGAGCTCCCTGGGAGCGTCTTGGAGGCATCTTGGGAGCCTCCTTGGGACTCTTGGGGGCCTCTCGGGGGCCTGTTGGCAATCTTAGGGCATTCCTGGTCCGTCTGACGCCGTCGGAAGCCGTCTTTGGGACCTCTCTGGGCCGACTTGGGGCCCTCTTGGGGTGCTCCAGGGCCGTCTTGGAGGCCATCGTGGGTGTCTTGGAGCCTCTTGGGCCGTTTTGGGGCCCTCTTGGGGCCGTCATAGGGGACCTCTCGGGCCGTTCAGGGGCCGTCTTGGAGGCCTCTTGGGCGATCTTGGGGCGATCCGTGGGGGCTCTTGGACCGTCTTGGGCCGTCGGAAGGCCGAAAGGAAGCAAATGCCCAAATCCTGCAAACACCTAGTGGAATCACATGATTTTGGCCTTTTCGGGCCTTCCTGGAGGACCGCTTGGAGGCCTCTTCGGCCGTCTTGGAGGCCTCTTGGGGGCGTCTTGGGGCTGTCTGCCGTCATCTTGGAGCCATCTTGGGCCGTCTTGGAGGCTTATTCGGCGAACTTGGAGGCATCTTGGACTCTCTTGGGCCGTCTTCGAGTTCAAGGCTATCTTGGACCATCTTGGGCGAACTCTGAGGCCATCTTGGCCGTCTTGGAGGCCATCTTTGGCCGTCTTGGGGGACTTTTTCTTGTCTTTGAGGTCGTTTGCGCGGCCTTCCGCGTGGCCGGCGCAATGAGCCGAAGCCCCCAGGGAAGTTCACTTAGAAAAAGAACTGAAACCAAACCGTATAGGATTCAGCACGTCAGGCACCCTTGTGACGAGCACAGGGGGCGGCGGACTATATGGCCTTCGGCTCGTCCCGCCACCGTGCCTGGGTTGTGGGTGTGAAGCCTATTGGATGTTCGTTGGGATCTCGTGGGAGGCCTCTCGGGGGCCTCTTGGAGGCAGGTTTGAGGCCTCTTGAGGGCCGTTTTGCAGCCTCTTTGATTTTTTTTGGTGGGGTCTCTCGGGGACATCTTAGGGGCTTCTTGGGAACCTCTTGGGGGCCTCTTGGGGCCTCCTGGGCGCCTCTGGGAGCCTCCTAGGGGCCTCTTGAGGCGGAAGGCTCGGATTTTTGGTTCGTGTTCTTTGTCTTGAGCCCCTTTGGGGGCCGTCTTGGGACCCTCGTAGGCTGTCTTCGGTGGCTCTTGGGCAGTCTTGGGGCCTTCTTTGGCCGCTTTGGGGCCCTCTAGAAGGCCTCTTGGGCCGTCTTGGGGCGAGCTTGGGGGCCTATTGGGCCATCTTGGAGCATAGGGAAGTCGAAACGGCGAGAATGCCAAAAAACGTCCAAAACCTATGGGCAATCAATGGTTTTGGCTTCTTGGGGCCTTCTTGGGAGGCCTCTTCGAGGCTTCTTGCGATGTCTTGGGGGCCTCTTGGGCCGTCTTGGGGCCATCTTGCGCGTCTTGGGGGGATCTTTCGGCGACTCGGGGCCCTCTTGGACCGTCTTGGGGTGCCTCTTGAGGCTCTCTTGGCCCGTTTTGGGGTCCTGTTGGGCCCGAATGATTCACACGACAAGATACGGGGGAGCCCAGAGGGCACGCGGGAAGCCCCAGGAGATGTCGGAAATTTGGGCCTGGGCCCTTAGTTGACTCTTCAGAACTAATGACTGAGGCTCAGGGGACTGGGCAAAGGACCTGAGGACCAGCCCACTCCGTGCCCAGCGGCACGGTGGCGAATCTTCTCTTCCATCTAGCCCTCTTTTTGAGGCCGCGCGGCCTGGCAGCACGAGCTGCCGACCAGACCTCGCGGGCCTGCCATGCAGGCGTTAGCCCTCTCCACTCTCTCAGGCACAGGCTTCTTGCGCCTCCACTTAGGGGGGGTGCAGTACAGATGCGCCCTGGTGCCTGATCTGTGATCCCAGATCTTCCCGAGTCATGAACAATAACACGATGGGATTTTTTGGAGGGGGGGGGTCGGCCTCTGGGGGCCCTTACCGGGCCCGGGGATCGTCAGGATGAAGAACCAGCTCCGTGGAATTGGATCAGACCTTTGGGGGTCGACGTTGTGGAAAAACATAACGTCGGGGGTCTGGGATGCTGGAAGCTCTGAGGCGCGGCCGTGATCTGACCCTCCTCCTCCTCCTCCTCCTCCTCCTCCTTTGGCGCTGCCTAGCTGCCCCGCTCGGCCTTTTCGCCAAAGGCTTTTCGGCCCCCTGTCTGTGCACAACTGGCCTGGGAGGAAAATATATAGAGGAGGGTGTAGGTGCAGATGGCGCCCTGATGCGTGGTGTTCGGTGATGCTGGAAGCTCTTAGGCACGGCCGCTTAACAAAAAAAGGGCTCGTGGCCATGGCTCCCATGGGGCGCCCGCCTTCTTCGGCTTCCCCGGCGCCTCCTCCGGGCCCGATTGAACTCGGAGGGCCCAAAATGCTGTAGTGACCACACCGCGTGGTGAGTCAGTGGGGATTCGGGTTGACCGCGCGGTTTTGGGACTTTGTCGTTCTCCGAGGGTGTCTCGGGCGACTGGAGCTTCCAGGGTCCTGAAACCGTGAAGCGGCGGACCGTGCGGTGAGGTCTCTCTTGGAATTTCGAGGTCACCGCACAGTCTGTCACCGCACCGTTTTGGGACCCCCACGTGGACGTTGTATTGCTCCTACGGTGGGGGCGTTGGTTAAGGAATGCGGCCAGGAGGCTGCAGACCCTGGAGGATTCCTTATCTGATGAGGGCGGCGCTGATATCCATGGCCAAGCTTCGATTGGAGTTCCACCTGCCTCCAGACCCTGTATTCGTCATCTAAGGGTTCCTTATCTAAGGGTCCCTTGTCTAGGAAGTTCGGGTCGAACGAAAGTTGGGGATCGGGAAAGGGGGGGGGTCCGAAATCTCCTGGATGCAGCTGGGTTCGGCCTCGCCGCCGGGCGCCTTCTTCGAGACACTGGTGCCTCCGGCGCCGGCGCCGGCAAACGCAGCCACGTGAGCTGAGTCGTTGCACCCCCCCCCTTTGCGAGTCCTCTCTTTCGTTCGACCTGCGAAGTGCTGACAGATCGCGTTTCAATCTCAACGACCCAGGGGGGCCCCCGCGACGGAGAGGTTGCTTCAAGAGGCCCCCAGGAGGCAGGGTGGCCCAAAACGGGGGCCGATGGTTTCCGAGGTGGCCCTGAGGTCTACCAGGATGGCCAAGATGGGCTCAAGATGGCACAAGGTGGCACCGAGACGGTCCGAGAGCCGCCCGAGACGCCGCAAGAGGGATCACAGGATGCCCTCGAGATGCCAAACTATCGGTGATTGGTCTGCGAGGCCCCGCCAGAGGCTCATAGAGGCCCCTGGCAGGCCCCTGGCAGGCCCACTGCAGAATCCCAAGAGCGTTCCAAGATTTCTCCAAGGGCGCCTTTCGCCCATCGGTCCCGCACGCCGAGAACCCCGCAAGTTGCCCCAACAGTGGCTCTAGAAAGCTCCAAGACGGGGGTTCAACCTATGGCCGCAGTGAAGGATATTGCAGTCAGTGCCAGGCCCACTTCGCGCACTCGTGCCGCTGAGTAGTGATGGCCCCAGTGAGTGAACTCCCATGTGTTATCACCACCCTATGTGACACACCACTCGTGAGGATCACGCCCCCGTAGGCAGCTCCACCACTGGCCCCGGAGGAGAACCCGCATGTGTTACCACCACCTTCATTATTTGGTGTAGGGCATAATTTTGCTGCGCAGTGGCCCTGTGCTCCTCCGACCGATCTGCGCGAGCGCCAGGCAACCACCCAGTCTTGTCGGCTGCAGCCGCAACACGAGGCCGGTGCTCATAAGCGGCCGCTTGCGCTCCTTCCCCCTCCTCCTCTTCCTCATCCTGCTCCTCCGTTGCCATCCTGTCATCCAGACTCGGCGCGCATTCTCATTCGCTCGCGCTCCTGATCCTCCCTTCCCCTCCTCCTCATCCTCCTCTTTCATTTCCTCCTCCCTCCCTCATCCCACGCCTTCCTCGACAACTGCCTTGCCCTCCGCCCCGCCTTTCCGTTGTCTGGGGTTGCTTCTCGCCTTCGGGTCGGTTCGGCTTTGTGTTCGACCCCGACCCGATCGACTGTAGATCTGAGACTTGATCGTGCGCGCAAGAGGCCGAACGTCCCAGGTGGCCTCCTCGCCCCCAAGCCCCGATTTCGCGCCCCAAAGCCGTGGCCGCTCAGCAAAGAGGGGGAGCTTGGAGATACACTTCGGTGGGGCTGTTTGGACGCACCTCCTCCTCCTCCTCCTCCTCCGCAGCCTCCTCCTCCTCCTCCTCCTCCTCCTCCTCCTCCTCCTCCTCCTCCTGCACCCCCATTGAGGGTGGACGCCCCCATGGACCTCCTCGAGTTTGGTCCCCATTTTCCTGGCCGGGCCGAACACCCACACAGCCGGGGGGTCGGGGTCGCCATGGCCCCCCGTGAGAGCTGGTGGCGGGGGAGGGGGAGAAGGACGAGCAGGGCACGGTGTGGGGCGGGGGTGGACCGAAACGGTGTCTTGGCGATTTCGTGGGCCGTTCTCGTTTCGATGTCATTCTGCAGCGAGGGCGAATTCAAGACAAAGCGAGGGAAAATGAAAACAAAGCGAAAACGAGAAACACTGTTTGGGTCCAGCCCTGGTGTGGGGCGTCATCCGCCACTTTTTTTGCTCCCCCCCGCCCCCTTTCTCGGGACGATCGAAAAGGGTACGGAAAGATGGGATACGATGCCCACCCATTTTTCCCGTATCCATTTCGGGCGTCCAAACTTCCCCCTCCCCCGCGCCCCAGGTTCCTGATCCAGCGGTCCGTCCGCTCGCACACCCTGGCGACCCTCTTCTACTGGTGCCCTGGGCAGCCCCGCAGCTCGAGGGCTGGCACAAACGGGTGGATGCCATCATGTGCGTTGTGGCCCCCGTGGGGGTGTGGGGGCTGGGCATTTGTCGCCGCTGTGGGGCGTGGCTCGGGAGACTTATTGTGACGGCGCGGCGGAGGCGTCTGTGGGCGAACTCGAATGTTTTACGCTCTGCGTATCCTCACCCGCTCATTCGAAAACAATCAGCGGGCGAGTGGCTGTGAGCAGGGACACGTAGCAGCGTGCAGTCACGCTTTGGGAGCCTCTTGGAGACTTGCTGAGGCCATCGTAGGGCCCTCGTGCGGCCTTTTTGGAGGTCTTTGGGGCTGTCTTGGGGACCTCTTGGGGCCGTCTTCGGCGCTTTTGTATCCCTCTTTGGGGCCTTGAGGGTCCTCTTGGGGCATCTTTGGAGCCATCGATCTGTGAAAGAGGGTTCGTTATTTCGGGGTCCCCCGGGGGACGACACATTGCCTCTTGCGGCGCTCTTAGGGCGCTTTTGGGCGCTCTTGGGACGGTCTGAGGCCCATCTTGGGCCCCTCTTGGGCTCTCTCGGGCCATCGTGGAATCTCGGGACGGTCATGGCGCCTCGTGGAGGCGCGTTGGAAGCTAACTTGAGCCATTTTGAGATATCTTGCGCGATCTTGGAGGCCGCTTCGGCTATCTGGTCTTTGTTGGGCCACTTCGGACCATCGTGGACGCTCCAACCCCTCGCGAAAAGCCCTGTCCAGACCTAGGGAGAGGGGGTAGGGGGAGAGGCAAACATCTCTCCGAAGAGAAAGGGGAGATTGGAAGTAACAGCTCCCTAACTCTAAAGTGAGCTGGGACAAGGGCGAGAGATAGCGAGCGTTTGTCCGTGACCGCTTGGGCTCAAGCGGCCACCGCCAACATGTGACTGCGCTTCATTGCGAGGCATACTACTTGTCATCGAGACCGAAACCATCCTTCGTTTGAGATGGCCCGTCGCTCCCGCGACGACCTCCTCCGACTGGGACTATCGCTGCTACGGTACAACAGAGCTGGAGCTGCGCTTCGCCTAGGGCGAAGCTTCAGGTCGGGCCTCACGGCCTCCTTCAAACCTGGTAACGGAGCTGGCCTATGGTGGCCAGCGCTCACTCTTCTCCTCACCATCCACGGCATTATCTGTTGTACTATTGACATGGTGGAAAATCAGGGTGTAGTGCTTCTGCGCGGAGGAATGTACATAACTACGCACAACCGCAAGGACATTTGCAGTGCTACCTCTGCTCTCGCGGAGGCCTCTTACTCGAGTCCTACATCCCTGCGCTACTACACTCCTGAAGTCCACCCACCTACTCCAATTTGGAGTTTTTTTGAAGATGCCATGCGTGGCAACGTGCGATACGATATTGTGCCGCCTCCACCCCCACGCAGATTTACAACAAAACACCACAAACCTCAGCCACCAACGTCCGACCACGACCTACGGGGCCCTTGGATTGGTATTGGTGTCTTTGTTCCTATATGGGTCGCTATCGGGTGTGCTGTGGGACGCATGCGTGGCGGAGACGACACAAGAACAACCGTCCCCCACTGGGGCCCGGCCGGTCAAGTACCTTTTCCGCGAATTCGTTCGAGAGGTACGTGCTTGGATCAACGTGACCACAGTCAATATGGCGCCCTCCTAACAGGCTGCAGCACTGCAGCGTGGTCTTGGAGGTCTCGCACGGACCATAGCCATGAGAGTTCCCCCCAGCAGTCATCAACTTTGGCGTTAACATTGGTGGCCGTCATAGCGATGGCGCCACCTACATCATGTTCTTCCTTGGCACGAAGTTTGAGAACTTAGAGGAGGAACGTCAACTTAACTCGGGAACGGCTCTCGTCGACTTCCGAGTCTATGCGGGAGAACGGATCGACCACACATTGGCGCGTTTCGAGAAAGCCCGCTACGAGGGTGAAACGGCAGGCTTTAACATCCCCAACTTCCAAATCCCAGCAGTTAGTCTGTTCAGAGCCTTAGGAGTGGGGACGCCGCGTGCACAACAACTCCTACAGCCACTCAACCACCAAATGCCGAGGAATTAACAACAATTTGATTCTCTACATGAACGCATGAGGTCATCACATTGTTGAGCGACCCCCTGGCAATATTGGTGGTATCTTTAGCCACGGCCACCGTGCCGAAACCGTTCATGCTGAAGCTAATGCAGGGCAGCCTGCCGCAAACATCTGGAATGACGGTCCGCAACCAACGGATACCACCACTCTATTGGCCCAAAATTGTGGTCCGGCTACGGGGTTGCAAGACTCCTGGGCCAGATATCAGGGACCGTCGGCAACAGCGGCCCCTACACAAGCCACTGCGCTTGTAGGCTCAGCGGGGCAAACCGCCGAGTCTGACTTCAACTCCAGAACCGACGCCGGCACGTCATCAGACGACGAAGCGACTGCCGTGGACTACTCCGATATGTTCAGCATATCTTACGGAAAAACAACAAGCTCATTGGTTGTGTCTAGGATATCAGAAAT